GTGAGTACAAGACATTTTCTAATGTATATTATCTATCTATCTGTCTATCTATCTATCTATCTATCTATCTATCTATCTATCTATCTATCTATCTATCTGTCTGTCTGTCTGTCTGTCTGTCTGTCTGTCTGTCTGTCTATCTGTCTGTCTGTCTGTCTGTCTGTCTGTCTGTCTGTCTGTTTACCTGCCTGCCTGCCTGGCCGCCTGCCTGCCTGCTTACCTGTCTATCCATCTATCTATCTTATCGTTTGTAAGTTATATTCCTTTCACCTTGTGTCTACTCTCTATTTATCGATGCCAATCTGTACGTTTTGTCTTTTTATAGAGACATTGCCATCTGTTTCTGTCAGTATCAGAGGAACTGAATCACTTGCAGACAGAACTTTAAACACCAAATTATCATACCATAATATTCTTTCCCTGAGAACGAGCAAAATCTGTCATGACAACACTGCCCTTCATTGTCGACCATTTCTGATTCTTTATATTAGTATACTAAATCTGTTTGTTTTTTTAAATCAAAAGTGAAGACGGTTTTCATTTTTTCCCTCCTAATCGAATTGCATCGCCTCTTTGGAAGTTTCGTAGATCAATATCAATGAGAAGCAGGCTGTAGCCGTAATGACAACCACATGATTTTAAACACATTAAAAGCCTATTTGACCTTGATCGTGTAAGTCCATATGCTAAGCCAGGGGGTGTTAATACGTTCGAAGAACTTTGATCAGTCTAATGTATACATACATCCGAAAACCGATGTTGCTCTGATCCATCACTTATCGGACGTAACAGTATGGAAAGACTTGCAATGTCTTCTTCTATTTGTTTTATGTGAACACTTTAAGACACTTGCAACACAAATAGGTCTAATAGACGCCGAATATTAAAGAAGTTACAAGAGAGTTACACACAAAAAAGAAGGACAGATAAGAACGATAGATGTTTGATAGAAAGGAGGAGCAAACCACACTAGAACGCCCAACAACCACCCACTTGCAATATTTACGAGCTCTCTTAGTGCACATTTTGTGTCCAGACGTTTTTCAGAGCATAGAAAACAAGCTCTTAAAAGACCGTTTCCTTCCTTCTAATAGCTTTTCCATAGTCTCTTATAATTCGTTTGATTGGAATGTTTCTTAAAGCGGCCTTCTAGAAATAATTAAGTGTACACCAGGATGCGGACAGCAATCTGCTTCAGTATAATATTTTACACTGTTACCCTTAAACCAATACTCCCACATCAACAGTTCTGTACTATGAATGAATAATTTCTAGATCTCCTTGGTTTTGGTGACCTAACGTCTCCCTGTGAGAAACACTTGCACCTGCTGATTGCTCGATTCTTAATCACAGACTCATGTCAAATCCAATCCCGCTTGCCGGAAGCCAAATCTCATTTTCGTCCCAACTGAAGCCTTAGCATCGATTTGCCTTGTGCTAACAGTCTGATAAAACACCAGCCTGCAAGAAATAATGACTTTGGCCGCCCACCACACGTTTCGGTTTCCCCTAAAATGGTCTCTTGACACTTGCGAGCAATGGCAAATAACGAGAAAAACGGCCAAGCAAGCTGCGCGTGACGTATGCGCTCCTAGCCAAATCGATGCACCTGGTAGTAAGTCTTGTTACTTGGTCAGTCGATCTCCTGGGAAATGTATGGGTCCATGAATGGAAGCTGTTGTCTTCAAGTTCTCTCTCTCTCTCTCTCTCTCTCTCTCTCTCTCTCTCTCTCTCTCTCTCTCTCTCTCTCTCGCTCTCTCTCTCTCTCGCTTTCTCTCTCTCTCTCTCTCTCTCTCTCTCTCTCTCACTCTCTCTCTCTTTATCCGTCATCAGTCACATAAATGATAATATACACAAACGGCTCCCATAAACGCGAACACGCACATACACGCACGCTCGTACACACACACAAAGCTTCCTAAGAGAAAAGTCTGTTGAAGTTCTTCGTTTATGCATCATGAATAATAAAATAAGAGAGATATTCATACTATCATAGAACACTGTGAATCGTGTGCTCACTCAATGTAAAATGGCTACCTCACCCCCCCCCCCCCTTTTTTTCTCCTTCTTTAAAAAAAAAAGAATAACACACATTCTCTTTTTTAAATACAATGGACCTAGAAAAAAGCAATGGGGTACGTGTTCGTTATTTTACAAAGCAATACTGAAAAACGAAAAATATATTTAGCGATTTGGAACAAAGATTCACGAGAAATCGACAAAAGTCTAATAAACAGAAAATGGTGTCTGATCAAAAACCAAAAGACGTTTGCCGATCGTTCTAAAAGCAAAAGATTTATCAATGTGTTTCTTAATACCTTGATGCACAATCAATCAAAATCTATTAATGTATCAGAAGTTTGAGTGTCAGATTACTGTCTTCTGCCCTTCTTGCAGAAACCTTATCCTTTCCAGTACCTTCCTTGGCCGACTTTCTCAGTCCAGTTTATCTTCTCAGCCCTCACCCCACCCTCCGAGATCATACGATGTGTCAACTTGTTAGGTGTGTGCTTACAAGCTGTTATCTGCATGATGTGGTATCTGCCGATTGGTTAATAGGATCTCCCGTCTGTAGCAAGACTGCAGATCCTGTCTGGGAGACTTGGAAATCGAACCGAAACCTACTTACTTCATCACTAGTTGCATATTATTATACTAGTACATGTAAAAATCCTAAACAATCTACTCTCAAACGGGATCACGCTTACACGACAGTTCGAAAACACCTACACACAGACGCACGCACGCTCGAACACAAGGACACACACGCACATGCACGCACACACACACACACACACACACACACACACACACACACACACACACACACATAAACAAACAAACAAACACACACAAACCTACACATAAAAACACACAAAAACACATACCCAACCACACACACGCACACACGCACGCACGCACGCACGCCCGCACGCAAGCATGTATGCACGTACGTTATGAACGTACATGCACAAATGTACACGACTGTACAGACTTCAAAACCAAAAGCTGCCTTCTTCTGTTTTCGTAAAGTTTGGCCGGCTATATCATTTCTTACCGAAGAATACCTGAAAAAGTCGTGCAATGAGTTTGAGAGTCGGGCTTTCGGGCGAAATATGTGTAGATTCCAGATGGCTCGGTTGGATTCCTTTAAGAATTCATTTTGATATGCTACCCACCCCCCCTCCACTCCACCCCCCCCCCCCCCCACCCCCGATCCTTTTTGCGAAGTCGGAGTTTCAAGTCCAAAGTCTCTCGAAAGGACTTTGGCTCTGAAGTGGCGTTTTAGAATGAGCTTGAAAAAAAATTGAACCCTCTCGAAATTAAACATTGGTCTTTCTCTCTTGCTGGTCAACTTGGAAAGCCAGTGCTCCACAGTGGCGCGCACAGTGTGTGTCTCTTGTCGTGGGTTCACGCGGTCACGCCGGGCCAGCGACAATAATATTATGAAGTTGACATTAGTGACGGGGGCGGTGCGCTAACCATGACGTAAACGAACTTGACTCCGGTCGGAACGGCTCCGTTCCCGGTTCTCCCCTCGGGTCGGATTTGTCGATAGATTTGTCGCTGTGGAGAGAGTTTGTCCACAGAAATAGTTTGGTCATGCGTTTGTTTGTTTTTCGTTGAGCTCAAGTCTCCAACTTAAGCAGGGCTCTTCAAGCTAAGAGAGATAGTAATCGAAGAGAATTCCACAGGAGCAATGTTAAAAGGAACTACAATAACCGCATACGCAAGTTGCTAACTCCCGTAAAAAATTATGTTCAGATACTTTTGAGGTGTACTTGTTAGGTCTTATATCTATGGTGAAGCTTTTAAATTGTTTGCCTCAAATGCAAAATATATGATTGCGATTTTTTTTAAAATTGGCACTTCAGTTAGTATCTGTCTTTCTTCTTGGGTGCTGTCTTCCAAATAGCTGTGGTTGGCCGTACGTGCAAGGCCAAAACTGTCCGCCTCCTCTCAAAATATGTAAATTCTACCAATGGGTGCATATAACACTTGCAGTCATTCATTACTAAAATGTTTTTATATCTGCTCTTGAGATAGACTTTTTGAGGGAGTTGAGAGGTTAAACTGGATTGTTTTAGTGCGTCTTTAGAAACGAAATACATTATGTGATATTGAAACAAAACATAGCGAAAGACTTGCATAAAGAGGATCCAGGCTTTCTTGTACAAGTATCTAAGGAAGTTACTGAGGAAAAGATGGACAGACAGGGCCACCAGCGGGGAAGTGTTAAGGACAACAAGACAGAGCCCAGTCAGAGATGAGGTGGGAAGAAGGGGGTGGCGATAAACAGGAAGTCAAGCAGCTACATAACGAAGAAAGTGTTGGATTGGAACCCATAGGGTAAAAGATTAAGGGAACTACACTTAGAACCGTAGAAGTCACAGAAATCGATGTACAGAAAAGTGGGAAGACATGGAATAACATCAAGAGGGCTAGCTCAGGATAGGGAAAGGTGGAAAGTGTTTGTTCGTGGCCTATATTCTGACCCAGGGTAAGAAAGGCAATGATGATGATAGCGAAACAAGCAAAACAACATGAGAAAGTGTTTCAACCGACAACCCATGTGGTACAACTTTTACTTTTATTAAAAGCAACTTTTGCAAAACGATGTTGTTTATCCTTCAAGTGCAAATATAACCATATAATGAAACCTTGCATCCTTTGAAGAGACAAGTCATTTCAAAAGGTCTAATGTATATTTAGTGTCTTTAAGCCCAGTACCAGCGCCGCATAACTTGGATTTTGGAATACCCATATAAAGACCCTAACAGGGGGTGTTACAATAATACGCACGAATTGTGTTAATTAAATCCAAGAGCTGCCAAAGGGCAAAATAAGACCACAACTCCATGCAATACACAACAGGAATATACAGCCACAGAAAGAGATTGAAAACTGCTAAACGAGAACACAAAAATATAGGATTGATTTTGGGAAGAGGGAAGGATGGGTTGATAGGGTGTAGATGGTTCGATACCAGGCAACAAAGA